ACCGTATTTCCTGAACCATGTGATAATAGTAAGGACAAATTTCCAGATCGGAGAGACACTGGGTCGACCTACTGTGTCGGGTCGACTCGTAAAATGGGCAGTCGAACTCAGCGAATTTTCCATCAAATATGAACCTCGACGAGCTATTAAGGCCCAAGCTCTAGCCGACTTTATTTCAGAAAGGACTAAAGGAGCAAGCAAGAAATGGATGATGCACGTCGACGGGTTCTCGTCAGCCAAGGGATCTGGTCTGGGAATAACCCTAGTATCCCCCGAAGGCGAACAGCTCGACTTTGCCATCAGAATAGGGTGTAAAGCCTCAAACAACGAAGCAGAGTATGAGGCTCTAATTAAGGGAATCCAACTGGTAATCGGGGGCGGAGCGACGGAAATCCTGGCACATTCTGACTCACAACTAGTTGTGGCAAGTATTGGGAAATTGCGAAATCAAAGAGGATCGGATGATAAAGTATGTCGAAGAAATTCAGAGCCTAGTACAAGGCTTGGACAGCTTTGAGTTAACGCAAGTACCTCGAGAAGAGAATAAGCGGGCCGATTGGCTCGCAAGAATTGCAAGCTCGAACGAAGGAAAAATGGGGAATCATATTACCACATTACACTTGGAAGGAAGTGTCCTGAGTGAGACAATGGAGGTCGACGAAAACCAAGATTGGCGAAAAGTAATTCGCGAGCTATTACAAAGTCGAGTGCCAGAAGGAGATAAGCAGGAGGCAGAGAAAGCAGCCCGATATTTGAGTAAATATTTTGAGATCGAAGGAGTCTTGTATAAGAAGTCGATGGTTGGGCCCCACCTGCAATGCGTTTCTGAAAGAGAAGGGGACCATGTCTTGAAGGAAATCCACGAAGGATGCTGCGGAGCACATATAGGATCACGAGCCCTAGCTGGCAAAGCCCTTCGGGCAGGCTATTATTAGCCCAATATCCGAAAAGCAGTCGAATGATTAGTACAAGGATGCGATAGATGCCAGCGCCATGGTCAAATCCCCCACGTTTCAGCCGAAACAATGACGACAATCAGCTGCCCGATCCCTTTTGCTCAATGGGGAATCGACTTGGTAGGCCCGTTGCCAATGGGAACGGGGCAACGAAAATTTATGGTGGTTGTCGTCGATTACTTTAACAAATGGGTAGAAGCAGAACCTCTGGCAAAAATTACTAAAGACAAAATGATACATTTCCTGTTCAATAATATCTACTGTCGATTTGGGATCCCAAAGATCTTGATTTCAAATAATGGGACACAATTTCAAGGAAAGCGGATCCAGGCGTGGTGTGTCAACATGGGGATCAAACAGCGATTCGCCTCAGTTGCGCACCCTTAGGCGAACGACCAAGTCGAAGTGACAAACAGAACCATCTTGCAAGGGCCAAAGAAAAGACTGGAGAAAGCATC